AGAAGGCCCAGTTTCTTGTTTTTTCCTTCCGGGCCTCCCTTGGCATTAGGCTCCTCAGCTGTCCCTCCTGGCTAGAACGAGTAATATGAGTAGATCTATGTGGGAGGAGGTATTGAGGTCCTAAACCATTTAGGGCTTTATATGTAAACATTAAGACTTTGAAATCAATGTGGAAACGAACCGGCAGCCAATGCAAGGTGGCCAGGATGGGAGTAGTATGTTGATGTTTCTTTACCCCACTGAGAAGTCTGGCCGCCGCATTCTGCACCATCTGGAGTATAACATTTACACTGTTATACAAGTAAAACACTCACTGCATTCCATTGTAGCCAAGTGTCATTTATTCAGTGTTGTCACATGAAAGGATATACAGTGGTGCCTCGCAAAACAAGTGCACCGTAGAACGATGAATCCGCACAACGGGGCCGTTCTAGCGATCGCACACCGATGGCCCCTATGGCTCAAAATAGCAGAGCGAAGGTCGGTAAGCGGTTCGCTTACCGACCTTCGCTTTGCGACCCGCCAATCAGCTGTTCAGTGACTTCAAAATGGCCGCCGGAAGCCCCAAAATGGCCGCGTGCAGCGTTTTCGCACCGTCGTTAAGCGAGGGGAGGGCGCGAAAATGGCTGCCGGCCATCGGAGAAACATCGCTGTACGGTGAGTAAAGCTGCTATTGGAACGCATTAAACTACGTTTAATGCATTCCAATGGCTTTTTTTGATCCGTACAGCGATGTTTTCACACAGCGAGGTACCACTGTACTAAAATATTTATGAAATGTGAGAGGGTGTACTCACTTCTATGATATACTGTATAATACTTAATTGGTGGACAAGATATACAAGAGATAAAACAATAGGCTTTCATAAGGAACAGACACCAAGAGACAAGATACTCCTGAATGTAAAGGGAAAAAACTGATCAAATGTTATATAATTATCTATGAGAATTAAAAATGCAAGATGAAAGAGTTAAAGAATGTATGATAAATGGGTCTAAAATGTGGGCCTTAATATTAACTTAAAGCCATGGTCACAGATATGGGAAGGTAATAATAAGATAACAAAAGCAATTAATTACAAAGAAAATATGTATAAGATGTACTATAGGTGGTATATGACACCTGAAAAATGATCAAAAATACATCAAAGTACCTCTAACAAATGTTGGAAATGCAAATCAAAAGGTTATTTTATCATATATAGTGGACTTGTAGGGAAGCAAAGAGTTTGGGAAACTAGTCTGTCAGTTTTTACAAAAATGTTGTCCTCTATAATTCCATATGAACCTGAACTGTTTTTGTAAAATATAATACCGGACTTGATAGAAAACGAAAAAAGATATTTCATCATAATGGAACTACAGCAGCAAGAATTTTATATGCCAAACACTGGAAAAAAGCAGAGACTCCAACAAGAGTGGAAGAGTGATAGGAGCTCTTCGAAGCCCACTGTCTCTTCCTGGGCCCTCCTTCTTGTAGGCATCTCCCCTGTGGGCTGTCTCTATGGGCTGAAACTGGGTGGGCCGAAGCACGCTGGGAGCTGGCTCTAATTTGTCCTGGGCAGGTACAGTCTGTGGTGGCCATGCAGGAAGGCTCCTTGCCCCTGTACGGGTTGCTCCATTTACCACAGACTTGTCTCCAGCCAGCCTGTTCCACCTTCGGTTTCCCAGTGTCTGAAAAGCTCAGATGTTGAGGATCAAAGGATTTGGTCACCTCAGACCCAGTGCAGTCCAGGGCCGGAAGAGACCAGAGCTTGGTTCTCTTTGTTAATTGTTGTTATTAATAAAACTCATCACAGGTGGCACCTCAAAATACTCTCCATTTTCTCTCTTTTATCTGTTGTACGTAGTTGTCTAGTCTTTCCAGAGGAATCCAGCACAAAACTGAATTAGCTACTTATGCCTTCTTATCTGTAGCACTTTTTTTACCAAAACAAGGAGCTGCAATGTAAAATTATATCCCCAGCTGTTATTTTTCTAAAACCTTTCACTTTTAATGCACATCTGAAGCAACTTTCAAAAAGCAGTTTTCAGTTTTAGGTGTGAGTTCTTTTATGTGAACTAAGGGTACCACAGTGACTAAAGCACTTTCCACATTCCAAGCATTTATATGGTTTCTCCCCTGTGTGAGTTCTTTGATGTGACCTAAGGTTACCACTCTCACTGAAGCTCTTTCCACATTCCATGCATTTATATGGTTTCTCCCCAGTGTGAGTTCTTTGATGTGACTTAAGGTTATGTCTCCGACTGAAGCTCTTTCCACATTCTATGCATTTATATGGTTTCTCCCCTGTATGGGTTCTTTCATGCAAACTAAGTTTATCACTCTTACTGAAACTCTTTCCACATTCCATGCATTGATATGGTTTCACCCCTGTATGGGTTTTTTGATGTGACCTAAGGTTACCACCGATACTGAAGCTCTTTCCACATTCTATGCATTTATACGGTTTCTCCCCTGTATGGGTTCTTTGATGTAACCTAAGTTTATCACTGTAACTGAAACTCTTTCCACATTCCATGCATTTAAATGGTTTCTCCCCTGTGTGAGTTCTTTGATGCAACCTAAGTTTAGTGCTGCGACTGAAGCTCTTTTCACATTCCATGCATTTATATGGTTTCTCCCCTGTATGGGTTCTTCGATGTGACCTAAAGTTACCACTGTGAATAAAGCTCTTTCCACATTCCATGCATTTATATGGTTTCTCCCCTGTATGGGTTCTTTGATGCATCCTAAGGTCACCACTAGAACAGAAGCTCTTTCCACATTCTATGCATGTATATGGTCTCTCTCCTGTGTGAGTTCTTTGGTGCAAACTAAGGTGACCACTATGACGGAAGCTCTTTCCACATTCCATGCATTTATATGGTTTCTCCCCTGTATGGGTTCTTTGATGTGAACTCAGACTACTGCTTTGGCTGAAGGTCTTTCCACACTGGAGGCATTTATATTGCTTTACCCCTCTGAGGTTTTCACCTGAAAATTTATTGTCCCTATTCATGGTCTTTCCATGCTCCATTCATTTAGTTTTTCCTTTGAGTCAGGGTAAAGGCAAAGGCTCCCCTTGACATTTAGTCCAGTCATGTCTGACTCGAGGGCACGGTTCTCATCCTGTTTCCAAGCCGTAGAGCTACTATATTTCCAAAGACAGTTTCTGTGGTCACGTGGCTAGCACAACTAGACATGATATGCCGTAACTTTCCCACCATAGTGGTACCTACCTATTTATTTACTCGCATTTTACATGATTTTGAACTACTAGGTTGGCAGGAGCTGGGACAAGCGACTGGGGCTCACTCCGTCGTGTGGATTTGATCTTACAACTGCTGGTCTTCTGACCTTGCAGCACAGAAGATTCTGTGGTTTAACCTACAGCGCCAACATGTCACCTTAGCCATGTCTATTTATATCATCTGAATGCTTTTCTGCCCATGATGCAACTTCTCCTTCCTTTTCCTTGATGATTTTCAAGTGACCAAGAGTTGTAAAAATCATCACTCTTTGAAACTGGAGATGTACTCTTCTCTGTCATTGGTTGGCTTCCATTCTGTCTTTTTGTCTCCTATTTGGTGTCAGTTTAATTTTTCCTGCTTCACACTTGGTTCTTGTCCTTGTCCAAATAGCTGGAGATAGAGAGTTCTGCTTGTCTTGGTTTGTTACCTGATTTTTTAAAAAGAGAGGAATATAGAACAGAACCTATTAAAAGCGTACAGTAACCTTCAACCCCACCACACTGGCATAAAAAGGCTTTTTTAATGAGTAAAGAAAACACATGAGCAGATTTTTCAAAGTATACTTGTACCTTAATATTTAATGGGATCATTGTACTTGCATCTTGGCAATAAAGTTAGTACAGAAAACTTTCTGGGTGAGATTTCATATAAAAATAATTGCAACTAAAAATAAACAGACTGATTTTTCAAATAACAATATCTTTAGACATCATCCCACCCCCAGGTCGGGAACCCGTGATCTACAGTATCAGGAAGATTACCCAAACCAAAAATGGGATTACTCTTTGAGACCCTGTTTTTTTTTTCCTTTTCTATCTTTTGAATAACTTGTTTTGCTTTTGGATGAGCTGATTCTCAGCTTTTGCCTTCCTAATGCCATTCTTGAAATTCTTGGCTAATCATCTCTCCTCCTCTATCCTTAGTTGCATTAACCTTCCTTCTGCTTCGTATTTTTTTTTCTTGTTTTCACTTCCTCTCTGAGATTTTTGTGAGACCATATTGTCCTAAGGGAGAAAAGAAAATGGGACCATGGTCTACAACTTGTTATTTTCATTCTAGAATTATACATGCGTGTACAGGATCGAAACCAAAATATGGAGGGAGGATCCATGGGCTGTCTCGGTATGCTGTCTCCTGATGGGACAGATGAAACATTTGACAGAATGATTGCTGTATCTCATACAACCTACAGATGAACATTCTTTACGTTCAATGCATGTGGAAACAAAGGACACAGCCAAGAAGAGCTATGAAGAAATCACATCAGACTTTCAAGCTCTGAGAAGAATACTCAAGGACTTTGAGTCTCAGAGAGTTTTCTCATCCATCCTACCAGAACTCAGAAGAGGAAGGGAAAGGAAAATATTCTGAGTGAACAACTGGCTACAGTTATTGAGGGATTTGGATTTTTCTAGCCTAAGAGGAAAATAAATTAATTTAAGTCTATTCATTAAATGCCTAAGTAATAAGACTTAGTTGCACTTTTCATAGAAGTGTTGTGACAATTTCTTCATGAGCCATCAGGCTGTGGGGAAAGAGAAAGGAAAGAATACTTATACACACAGAGAGAGAAGATGGAGACGAAAGAAGCACAGAGAGAAAGGCAATGAAAGACACAAGGAGAGAGAGATCTGAGGCAGGGAGGTGATTGTAATCTCACAACATGGAGCGTGGACCGTGGGAGACCCTGGTGTCAACAAGCATAACCCCTTATTTATTTTATTTATTTATTTATTTGATTTATACCCCGCCTATCTGGGCGACTCGTCCACTCTAGGTGGCTTACAATATAGAATAAAACAATAAAACTCAGAAAAGTACATACTCATACGGTAACAATTGTGATAAAAAGGGATAATAAATAAGGGAGAATAAGAAAGAGATCAAGTATTGACTGGAGAGAAGGCCAGGATGTATAGCCATGTTTTTAATTGGGTTTTAAAAATTTCCAGTGTACGGGCCACACGAATCACAGGAGGGAGGTTGTTCCATAGGCGAGGAGCCACCGCCGAGAAGGTGTCAGAGTATAGAAATTTTATAAGCCTGAACCTGTATATGTGTTTCATTAACGAGCTGCCATTGTGCACAGATGTGAGAGTGCTGAATCACTCTGGACATGATGTAATGACTTGAAACCAGGAGAAGACCAGGTGCAAAGTATGAAGTCATCTGTTTTCTGATTGGACAAAATATGCCATGTAAATGTATATAAGTGGACTGTGTCTTTGTTTCTTTCTCTTCCTCCACTATCACTTGCTGTATTTGTGCCATATTGACGTACATATTTCCCTCAGGGCTGGATGAAGGGGGGGATCAAAAGAGTCACCCACATTATAAGGTGAGAGACACAGGAATGGACAAAGAATCCCTGTCTGTGAAGGGAGCAGCAGAGATAATGGGAATCTCTCCTCACTGTCTGTTAATGGTTTGCCTGTTAACACCGAGTTGAGACGTTCAGCCAGAAATGGTGTTTGAAGGATCTGCAGACTCAGAAGTGATTGTTGAAAATCATGATGGA